ATTTGGTACCACAGTCGAATAAAATTCTTTTGGTACCACAATCGAATAAAAGTTATTTGGTACCACAATCGAATAAAAATGTTTTGGTACCACAGTCGAATGAAATTCACTTGGTACCACAATCGAAGTAACTTTATTTGGTACCACAATAAAATAAAATTCATTTTACATTGTAATCTTAAAAAAATTTTGTTGGTACCACAATCGAATAAAATTTATCTGGTACTACAATCAAATAAAAGTTATTTGGTACCACTATAAAAAAATATATTTGATACAACAATCGAATTAAATTTATTTGGTACCACAATCAAATAAGTTATTTGGTACCAGAGTGGTACCACACAAATTCTTTGGTACCACAAAATATTATAATTTATTTGGTTCCACATACAGTAAAAGTTATTTGATACCACAATCGAATAAGATTTATCTGGTACCACGATCGAATAAAATTTATCTTGTACCACAATCGAATAAAAGTTATTTGGTACCACAGTGGAATAAGGATTCTTTGATACCATTTGGTACCCAGAATAGAATAAAATTTATTCTTCGCCGCATTAAATCAAGTTTATTTGGTACCACAATATAATAAAATAAAAATTTTATTCTGGTACCAAATAAACATTATTTCATTATAGAACCAAATAAAAGTAGTTAATTGTGGCATTTAATAAATTTTATTCTACTGTGGATCAATCATTCTAAAAAACTATGTTTTAATTTAAAAATTTCTTTTTACTGTTTAGTTTACTTTGTTTTTGAAATTCAGATACAAATTTAAATATAGATAGTTAAAGTTAAAATTTATTCAGGCTTCCAATAATGAGTACATTAAAATAGAAACTTAAATTGATTGGAATTTTAAATATTGGCAATGGCAATAATCGATAGTATGAATAGCTTTCATTAAGTGAAAATAGTTGCAATTAATTATAACCTCGAATAATATTACTTTCAATAATAGCTTCTAATAATAGCTCTAAATAATGATAATTTTACTATAATAATAAATTTTATTATAAGTATAAGAGAATAAAAAGGAAAGTATTGAATAATAACGATTGAAAACGATAGTAGCTTCCATTATTATAACTATACAGTTTTAACTAATTAATTAATATAATTAATTGAATTAAAAAATTTGTAATTAAATAAAAATTAAATTGTTTTAATTTATTATTTTAAATTAAATAGAAATTAAATTCTTAATTTATTATATTTTAAATTAAATAAAAAGAGTACGAAAGGACTTGTCCTGTTTATAAATTAATAGAAATTAATAAAAATTGTATTAGTAATTTACTAACTTAATTCGAAAGATTAAATAATTAGTTTTTATTAAATTTTTATTTAAAAAATACGTAAAATTGTTGTTTGCGCTTAGATATAGCGTTACATTAACAGGTGGCATCAATACTTCCTCATCTGTCAAACTAGTATTCGTTTATATGGAAAAGCAAGATTCCTAAAAATTGAGAAGTATCTGAACAAGTTTTTAACTTTCATCTATTATACGCGCCTTGATAATTTAAATCTTCGGCACGCTGTAAAAATTTCCATATTAATAAGCTACAGTATTCAATTTTTTTGAAAACCGATATTTTAATGTTCAAAAGTTGTCAAACTGGTATTTAAATAATTTTTTAAAATTATTTCCTGCATATTTACTGTTTTTTCCAAAAAATATCTGTATATGATACAAATTTAAAAAAAAATTCCAGTTTTTTTCCATTTCCTGGGAAATTTTGTTAAACAATCGGTAATTTTAAATACCAATGAGTTCAATGAATTTTCTGATGTTCTGAAACTTTCTAAAATCAACATCTAAAGTTACTGTGTGTGTGGTGTCAACGTCAACTTCTCATTTGACATTCAAGGAAAATTCAAAAGTTCAAGGAAATTCTCAAATTACTGCAATAAATATGTGGAGAATATTATGAATAGCAATTGATGAAAGTAATTAAATAATATGTAGTTGATATACCGGTATCAAATTCTTAATTTCCTCCTTGTAAAATCTATATTCGAGTTTGACTCTATAATATGTAATCGAAACTCTTACTCTTATAATTCCAGAAATTCTTTTTTCATGTTGAAAATTGAATTTATAATTATCATCGCACATGTAGATCAAAGAGTTCACTGTAGATCTAGATCTACTCAAGGAAGAATGGAAACTCACTTGAAGGAATTTAGAGAGTAAAATAGCGGAGTTCACTTCAATAAAAAGAAACTTTCAATATTCATAGACTTTTTAATTTTAAATTACCAAAATATGGTACTCAATATGGTACTAAATATATATGTAATTTAATGTGGTAGACAATACAATTTATTCTGTTGTGTCACCAAGTAAATTTAACTTCTTCTGGTACCCAAAAATTGTACCTATCCGCAATTGTGGAACCAAGAAAATTTTATTCTAATGTGGTACCAACTGAAGTTTATTTAATTTGGTACCAAATAAACGATATTCAATGTGGTAGCCAAAAAATTAATTTCTATTTTGATAATAAAATATTTTTATACAGTTAGAAATAAATATTCTATTGTGCAACAAAGTAACTTGTACTACATTGTGGTACGAAATAAATTTTACTTTATTGCTGTACCAAATAAATGCAATCCAATGTGTTCTTAAAAAAATTATTCTGCACTTTGGAACCAAAAAAATTTTATTCGCCACCGTATTAACTTAAATTTATTTGGTTTCACATTAAATAAAAGTTATTTGATACAAATAAAAGAATAAAATTTATTTGGTACCACATTAAACAAAATTATTTGGTACCACAATCGAATAAAGATTATTTGGTACCACAATCGCATAAAATTTGTTTGGTACCACAATCGAATAAAAGTTATTTGGTATCACAATGGAATAAGATTTATTTGGATCGATAACTAAATACAATTTATTTTGTACCACAATCGAATGAAATTTATTTGGTACCACAGTGGAGTAAAATTTATTTGGTACCACAATGAAATAAAATTTATTTGGTACCACAATGAAATAAAATTTATTTGGAACAACAACCAAATACAATTTATTTGGTACTTATTTATTATATTATGGTGCCAAATAATTTTTCTTTAATGTGGTACCAAAGAAAGTAAATTTAATGTTGTAAAAAATAATTTTTTTTCTATTCTGTTACCAAATAAATTCCATTCTATTCTGGTTCCGAATAAATTAATTTTATTGTTGTACTAAATAAATTTTATTCTATTACGGTATAAAATAAATTGCACTGTGGTACCCACTAAATTTATTTCTTTTGTGCTACCAAATAAATTTTATTCAATTGTAGAACCACATAAATGCAATCCAATGTTTTCTTAAAAAAATTTTATTCTACTTTGGAATCAAATAAAATTTATTCCACTGTGGAACCAAAAAAATTTATTCTAAGGTGGTACCAAACGAATTATATTTTGCTATGGAACTAAATTTATTTGGCAACACATTAAATCAAATTTATTTAGTTCCACATTACATAAAAGTTATTTGGTACCACAATCGATTAAAATTTATTTGGTTCCATAATGAAATAAAATTGATTACCAGAAGATAATATAAGTTTATTGTATTATGGTGACAAATAATTTTTTGTATGTTGTACAAAAGAAATTTAATTTAATATGGTGAACAATAAATTTTATTCTATGCTGGTACCAAACAAATTAATTTTATTGTGGTACCAAGTATATTTCATTCTATGCTGGTACCAAACAAATTAATTTTATTGGGGTACCAAGTATATTTTATTCTATGCTGGTACCAAACAAATTAATTTTATTGGGGTACCAAGTATATTTTATTCTATGCTGGTACCAAACAAATTAATTTTATTGGGGTACCAAGTAAATTTTATTCTATGCTGATACCAAACAAATTAATTCTATTGTGGTACCCTTTACATTTTATTCTATGCTGGTACCAAATAAATTTTATTCTATTTTGGTAATAAATACTTTTCAATGTGGTACCCACTAAATTTATTTCTCTCTTGGTACCAAATAAATTTTATTTCGCCAGCAAGTAAATGTTATTCTATTGTGGCACTGAATAAATATAATTTATAGTGGCATCAAATGGATTTAAAGAATGTGGTACCAATACCATTTTTAGGTTGACCTAATAACGTTAAAAGCGTTAAAAATAGCTCAATCACAAATATACCAAAATCTTTTTATTTTTTTTCAAATTGATATAGAGGCTTAAAAATCGTTCCAGAAACTACAATATGGGACCGCTTTTAATACTAAAAAACAGTTTTTATTAGTGCTACCTCTTATTACCGAATAAATTCCGCGACACTTTATTCTCTGAACCAGAACCATACAACTTTCTAATTTTCAACAAAAAGTTTCAAAAATCCATCAAAGAATTTTTACAGAGCTACTTTGTTTCCACCATAACTCTAAAATTACTTCAAGAATTTTACTAAATACCGCAAAGAAACTTACTAAGTGATACTAAATTTGGTATCATCTTTGGTTGAAATACCAAAGTGCCATACCATTATAGTGACAATGGGTACCAAAGTGATACCCAATTATGAATACAAAAAATTAAAATTGAAAATCAAAATTTTAAAAATGCTATCAACTTTCTGCTACATTCCAGAAGTGGTAGCAAAGAATTAAAAACTGTGCTACCATTTCCCCACCAACTAAATGAATAATCTATTAGACCGCAAAAATATTCTGCAATTAAAAAGTGCAAAATAGTAATTAGAAGAAGAAAAATGATAATCGCAAGTGAAACACCAAGAGCTGACAACCCATAGAAATTAATATTCAAGACTGTCAATATCCTGGACTTCCTTGAAATTGTCCTCCCCCATATTTCCGTTAAATCGGTGTTAATGAGAGGCATCACGTGTGAGGCATCGCGCCTAACGGTGAAATCGATGATCGGATGTCTTGCTTCGATAGCAAAGGGTTTCACGACTTTCTCTCTCATCAACTTGAAGAATAGGACTCACCAGCTGTTGGCTCCGTTGTTATTGTCTCTCTGCACTTTCTATCCTTGCGCCTTCCTGGACCAAGAAATCACTGATTCACTCGCGATATTTCATGGGATGATCATCATCATCAACATCATCATCATCATCGAACTTTTGATTGTCACTCGTCCACCGAGGGATGATCCCATGAATAAAAAAAAAAGTTAAAATAATCAAGTGAAATGAAACGAGGGTAACTGTTTACCGAGGTAACTGAAAAAGGGGGTCGGGACTAAACAGCTGGTGGAGTTGTGCTGTCAAAGGTTCTCTCTTTCTCTCTAATGCATGGGACGATCGGTACAGTGCTTGGTATCAGTGTATATCGGCTAGGTGAAAGCCGAGAAGAGCGACTGGCCAAGCCAGCCATCCAGCCGATCCGAGGGACCGTCAGAAGGAAACCGGCGACAAGGTAGGAGCGAATCCGTCCCCTCTCTGTTGAATTTCCACAAGTTACTTTCACAAGAGAGTCAAACAGTGCCGGTGGACGGGCAGAATGGGCAGAATCGAGTCGAGCAGCGAGGCGACTTGTACTACAAGACTCAGCGCTCAGCGGTGCAAGTACCGTTTCTTTCAGATATATACACTGACCATTTCGTGCTCATAAGTACCGAAAAAACAGTTGTCTTTTGGGGGAGATTTTTTATTCTAACCGCCACCATGTATTGTAATTAAGGAAACACTTTGGAATTTGAATGGAGGCTTTCTTGAAATCGAGGAATTTGCGCCTTTCATGTATATGATTGATCAATCTTGGATAATGTTCATTTTGCTTTTTCTGTTTTCTTATTTTCATGGAATCCTCTTGAGAGTCTTCACCGTGATTCTCTTCTTCACAGTTTCCATTATTTAAAAATTGTGGGAAATCCTTGTTAAGAAATAATTGGATGTTGGAGTGGATTAGAATAATTTTTGACAGATAAAAATCATTTAGTAACAAAATTTGGATATTTTTAATGCTTTGAATTTTATTAGGTCAGGCTAAAAAAAGGAATTGGTACCACATTACAAAACATTTGGTACCACAATAAATTAAATTTCTTTCGTACTACAAGAGAATAAAATTTATTTTGGTAGCAAAATAAAATTTGTTTTGTACCACAAAAGAAATTTATTTAATGGGTACCATATTCAAATTTATTTATTACTATAATATAATTTGGTATCACAATCAAATAAAAATTATTTGGTACCGCAGTAGAATCAAAATTTGTTTGGTACCAAAATATATTTATTTTTTTTTATTTATTTTATTTAAATTTACACCAACAAAAACGAGAACAACATAATAAAAGTTACTGTGGTAAAAAACCAAGTTTAATTCATTGTGGAAACAACAAAATTTTACTCTAACAATTTTATTTGGCACCACATTAAATTTATTTCGATCCAAATTAAGCAAAAATTATTTGGTACCACAATGGAATAAAAGTTATTTGATACCGCAATCGAATAAAAGTTATTTGGTACCACAATGAAATAAAATTTATTTCTTTACACAATCGAATAAAAATTATTTGGTACCACAATCAAATAAAATTTATTTGGTACCACAATAGAATAAAATTTATTTGGAACGACAACCAAGTACAATTCGTTTGGTACCACAGTAGAGTAAACTTTATTTCGGTCCACAACAAAATTCAAATTATTTAGTACCAGATTCAAACAAATTTACTTGGTTCCATATTAAGTAAAAGTTATTTGGTACCACAATAAAATTAATGTATTTGGTACCAGAATAGTATAAAATTTATTTTTCACCACATTAAATTAAATTTCTTTGGTACCACACTGAGAGAACGATTTATTTGATTCAAACAAATTTTGTTTGTTTATTTAAAGAAATATTATATTTAATTCAAACATAAGTTATGGTTGATTTTAAATTATATATAATCATCTTTTAAGTTTGAATTAAACATAAAATTTTTAAACCTAATTTTTGTTTAAATCGAAACAGAAAATATGTTTGAATTAAACATAATTATTCAAACAAATAATATTTGTTAATCAAAACAGTAGATATTTTCTGTATATTGGGATTAAGCTTACAAACTAATTTCAACTAAACAAAATCACTTAAAATTATATTTCTATTTGAATTAGGTATAATGTTTTCTCAGTGCACATTAATGAAAAATTATTTGGCACCATAATATAATACACTTATATTATCTTATGAAACCAAATAAATGAAATTAAATGTGGTACCCAAAAAATGATATGCTATTGTAGAAAATAAATAAATTTAATATATTTTGTGGTACCAAATAAGTAATATTATATTGTGGTACCAAACATATATTACACTGTGGTACCAAATAACATTTACTTAATGTGAAACCAAATAAATTTTATTTTAATCTGGTACTAAATAAACTGAATTAAGTTGTGGAACAAAACAATGTTTACTCTACTGTGGTACCAAAAGATTGAATTTGGTTGTTGTTCCAAATAAATTTTATTTTATTGCGGTTCCAAATAAATTTTATTCTACTGTGGTACCAAACAATTTTTATTCGATTGTGTAATCAAATAAATTATTTTTATTGTGGTACCAAATAAATATTATGAGATTGTGGTACTAAATAAATTTAATGCGATTGTGGTACCAAATAATCTGTATTCGATTGTGTAACCAAATAAATTGTACACCACTGTGATAGCAAACAAATTTCATTCGATTGTGGTATCAAATGAAATGTATTTGGTTCCAATTGTGGTACCAAATAATTTATATTCGATTGTGTGATCAAATAAATTTTATTTTATAGTGGTACCAAATAAAGTTTATTTGACTGTGGTAACAAATAAATTTAATGCGATTGTGGTACCAAATAATCTTTATTCAATTGTGTAACCAAAAAAATTTTATTCCACTGTGGTAACAAACAAATTCCATTCGATTGTGGTATCAAATTAATTGTATTTGGTTGTCATTCCAAATAAATTTTGTTCCACTGTCGTATCAAAGAAATTTGATGCCAATGTGGTACCAAGTAATTTTTATTCGATTGTGTAATCAAATAAATTTTATTTCATTTTCGTACTAAATATGTTTTATTGGATTGTGGTACAGAATAACGTTTATTCAATGTGGTACCAAATTAACTTTATTCCATTTTGCTACCAAATAACTTTTTTCCGATTGTTTTACCAAATAGCTAAATATTCATTTAGAACTCTAATAGTATAAAATTTCTTTATTAGCTCAATAGAAATTAATTTATTGGGTACCACATTGAATATTTTTTATTTGGTTCCAGATTAAATAGACTTCAGTTGGTACAACATTAGAATAAAATTGATTTTTGTACCAGAATAAAATTAATGTATTTGGTACCAAAATAGAATAAAACTTATGTGTGGTACCCAAAAAATTTTATGCTATTGTAGAAAACAAATAAATTTAATATATTTTTTGGTTCCAAATAAGTAATATTATATTGTGGTACCAAACAAATCTTATTCCATTGTGGTACCAAATAAATTTTATTCGATTGCGATACCAAATAACTTTTTTTTCAATTGTTGCACCAAACAGCCAAATATTTATTTACAAGTCTAATAGTATAGAATTTGTTTATTACCACAATTGTAACTAGTTTATTGGGTACCACATTGAATATTATTTATTTGGTTCCAGATTAAATAAACTTCAGTTGGTACCACATTAGAATAAAATTAATTCTCCATTAAATGTTATTCTATTGTAGAACAAAATATATTTCATGCAATGTGGTAGCAGATAAATCAATTACTAATGTGGTAGCAAACAAATTTTATTTGGTTATAGAACCAAAAAAAATTTTAATAATGTGGTTCCAAAAAAATTCTTTTCTAGTAATTCAATCTGGTCCCTAAGAAATTTTATTCCTTTGGGGTACCATATAAATTTCAATTTCTTGTCGTACCAAATAAATTTTATTTAATTTCAAAATAAAAAAATAAGAAATCTAAAATTAAAAAATATATATTTGGATAAAAATCACGAAAATTGAAGAAAATAAATTATTTCCGCAGATAAACAATAAAATTGATGTAAAGTAACCAAATGCTAAATAGACATAAATATAGTAGGAATCCTATGAATCTAAGGTCATGATTCTCCCTATAAGTTGCGTACACATATAAGTGTCATAATTTATTTCCCACTTGATACTTCATGTGCCGTGTGTCTCCACGGCGAGAAGACAGATGAAAAATCGCTTTTAATGGAGAAGTAAAAGTCAAAAAAAGAGCAAAAAAAGTGCGTCTTTTTCAAATTCAACATAAAAATTGATATAAAACAGCAAATTTATATATGTACGCAGGTATTGATGTTCCGTTACTATATATATGAAGGCAGGCTTCGGTCTCGTTTGATGATTCTTATTTTTTTATGGATGCTGGTGGATGATAGGGTGCATTGCTAAAAGTATAAAGGTTCTCTCGTGAGAAGGATTTGATTTATGATATTATAAGATGTGCTTGAATGTTTCTTGTGTACGGGGGAATCAGTCCGGGTGGTAAGATATTGAATATCGTGGGTGTTGTGTGTGCTTTCATCGCGAGTTCGAATATCTTATTCGAAAAGAAAAAATTGAATTGATGGCGAAAATTTTGCGATCACAGAAATATTGTTCTGATATTTTTCTTTGTCTTTATATAAAAGGGATGGCAATATATTTTTTAGTAGTTCAATGTTAATGTATAGTGGAATTTGGTTATATTTAAATTCACACCAACAAAAACGAGAACAACATAATAAAAGTTGATGTGGTACAAAACCAATTTTAATCGATTGTGGAAACAACAAAATTTTACTCTAACAATTTCATTTAGCACCACATTATATTTATTTCGTTCCACATTAAGCAAAAGTTACTTGGTACCACAATGGAATAAAAATTATTTGGTACCGCAATCGAATAAAAGTTATTTGGTACCAAAGTGAAATAAAATTTATTTGTTACCACAATCAAATAAAACTTATTTCGTATCACAATTAAATAAAATTTATTTGCTACCACAATCAAATAAAATTTATTTGGTACCATCATGAAAATAAAATTTATTTGACACCACAATCGACTAAAATCCATTTGGTAACACAATCGAATAAAAGTTATTTGGTACTACAATAAACTAAAATTTATTTGGTACCACAATCAAATAAAATTTATTTTGTATCACCATGAAAATAATATTTAATTGACACCATAATCGAATAAAATTTTTTTGTTACCACAATCGAATGAAATTTATCTGGTACCACAATCGAATAAAATCCATTTGGTACCACCATAAAAAAATATATTTGATACAACCATCGAATTAAATTTATCTGGTACCACAATCGAA